AGAAGAGTTCATATTCAAATGAATGGCCCCTGATATTACAAGGACCAAAAGCTTTGAATTTTCAGCAAAAAGACACAAAATCTGCGTGTTGCACTATGGTTCAAAGAATCAATCGAGGGTACAGATCCATTGGTAATGACAGCAGAGACTTTGTGCTAAAGGAGGCCAGGGAGTAAGGGACTGGGGAAATCTTACATTGGTTCCATTTAGAAAGTTCCCAATGGCGAGGAGAGTGGACAGGATGAAGCCCAGAGTTTTATTGTTCTCCAACTGGTCTATTCCTTCCTTCAGGTCCAAAAGTGGTTCGGCCACTTCCTTTCAGATAAAAAGAAAGCAGAAGATGAGAAAGAATACATATCTTGGTTTCCTTTTTTTCCTTTCCAGGTTTGTGTAGTCTGCAACAATAACCAGTAGAGTTCTCCGTAGCACAGGATAAGGTGTGTGATAGGCATTTGGTCCAAGATATGGATAGTTATTGAAAGGCAGCAGAGAAAAATCTACTCCCGGACACCACAGTGAGGAGCCTTGGTTCTGTAACTTCCAAGTGCAAGCAGGACCCTTAGACCCCCTTTCACCACTCCCCCATTCCCATGCCAGCCTGGCTGACTTCCGAGGCCACCTTTCCTTCCATGATCCCTCAATGCCAGACCACAGCCTTCTCTTTGTTGTTGCTGGGTTTTTTTTTTTTTTTTTCCCTTTGCGGGCAGATGACTGTACTCATTGCATGCTCAGAGTCTCTGGCCACCACGGTTTCCTCCTGTCCCTTTAGGCCCTCCACGCTGGTCACCTCTTGGCCTGTTACTTACATAGGTCTGTCCAATATTTTGACATTGTGACATGGCATTGTCATCTACAAAGTTTACAGTAAAGAACCATATAATTTGGTTACAAAACCCCAGCTCCATGTTTTAAATACATTTAAGAATTTGTGTTGAGGTATATTCATAGCTTACTCGGGGCGCATAAAGTCCGGGGATTTTGGATTTTGCACGTCTGAAAGCCACAGACATTTGATCTGCTCTGCAGCCTCATTGGCCTCAACCTATGAAGTCCTTCACTTGCCTGGATCCCCAAAATGAAGGGCTTCAACTGTAGTCTCTCCAGCAGCCTTGCCTTGCCAGTCCCCAACCGTAGCTAGTCACACATCATTTCCTCCAATGTCATCTCACTTTGCTAAAAATCACCTAAATGTGCCAAATGCTTTCACAATGGAGTTACACCCAGCAGTCCTCGGGGTGTCTTCTTCTTTCCTGCTTGATTCCATGGATGGAGACTGCGTTAAGACCCCTTATTCAAAATGCATGGGGCCCAGAAGTGTTTCCTATGCTGAAATATCTGAAAATACCTCTAAGACATCTCACAGATGAGGTATAAGGACAAAATTTACTCATGTCATAGCACACCCCTCACGACACAGCCAGAAGGTAATTTCATATATTTGAAAACACTTTTAACTGCTTTTGCTTCATCTATGACCTGTCACATAAGGTGAGGCATGGAATTTTCACTGTAGCATCATTTTGGCCCTAAAAAAGCTTTGGCTTTTTGTGCATTTGGGTTTCAAATTTTCGTATTAGACATGCTCAGCCTGTAATTTTCCCTCAAACTTCCCAAACTCACTGTCGTATAGCTATTCTCCAATACAGCAGCATGGTGACCCCTCCGGGCTTCAGTCTCTACCTCTTCTGGTACGAAGCCCCTTACAGTTACTCAGCTCACAAAAGCATCCCACGGACCTGTCGTGTAATGTCTCCTCCCAAATCAAAGTACTGCCTCTAACAGGGACTCAAGAAGCTACCAACACTTACAAGTGTCAGGAAATTCCTTAAATACAAGAGTCTCAAGACCCCTTCCCAAGTTACATAAGTACTAACAACTTCTGGGGGGGGGGGGGGGGGGGAAAGGATACTGATCTATCTTTCTGCAACTTGGTGTTGGGCAGGGCCCTCCAGGAATGCCCATGCTGGGATGGGCTTTATGGTGCTATAGCTCCCTCTGAGTTATCTGTGTTACCTCTTAAAAAATAATTTATCTTTATTTTATATGAATTGGTATGAAGGTGTCAGATCCCCTGGCACTGGAGTTACAGAGAGTTGTGAGCTGCCATGTGGGTGCTGGGAATTGAACCTAGCAGCCAGTGCTTTTAACTGCTGAGTCATCTATCCAGCCCCTATCTATGTTCTTTAAGTAACCCCTGACCCACCCTCATGTAAGTAACCCTGACGAACTCTGGTTCACTAAGTTAGGCCAGGGTGGAAGACTTCTTTGGTCTGCTGTTGCTATCTGGGGTAGATAGACATTTGTTCATAGCTCCCTAGTGAAGTCATACAACACACCCAGTACAGGAAGGATGCCTATGTCTTCCACTTGCTATTTAAGAGGGGCCTTAGGACCTTCCCCAACTAACCATTCCCCCAACTCTGTGTGTGCGTGTGTGTGTGTGGGTGTGTGTGTGTGTATCTGAATGTACACATGTATTTGAGTCTGAGGATAACCTCTGTCAGGTGTCTGCACCTGCAAGCTTCCTAGGATTCTCCTGTGTCTACCCCCATTTTACCATAGCAGCACTGAGGTTACAGATACACACTACAGTGTCTGGCTTTTAGTTCCCATACAATTCAGTTTTCTGTCTGCTGCCTAAAGCTGCTGCTGCTATGATGGATGGAGCTATCCCACTCACTATCATGACTTTCCCTTCATGAAGGCCTGTGCCCTCTGAAATAGTGAGACCCAAACAAAACTCTTCTCCCGTAAGTTGTTTCTGCCTGACATTTGGTCACAACAATGGGAAAAATAGCTACTAAGATTCTCTTACCAGTCCCCATGAAGCTGCCAGCACCATGGGTCCCAGTTTAGGTTATGATCATCAGGGGAAAGGGTGGAAGTTTTTTTTTCCCCCACATTTTGCCTTCCTATATTTTCTACAGGGAAAATGCAGTCTGATAAGGTTTGATAACTGAACACTTGATTGCTGCCTATAGTCAGGATCTGAGGCTGTGTCAGGAAGGTGCTCAACACCTAGTTCAGATGCAGTTCGCACCACCCAGTGTGAGCTATGACACCATCACCATCAGCTCACCCTCCAAATTCTGTGTCAAGAATGAGGCTTTACCAGCTTAATAGCCACCGGCTGTAAAACCACTGGTCTCCACACTGGGATGTGGGAGTTCCTATGGCCTGCCTACCTTCTCTGTGGTTTCATAATCCATTTTGAATGCCCAGAGGTGGAGCCGAGCTGAGAGCTCACTGATGGAGGACAGCGTGAGGAGGAACTGCTCAGCACTGCCCAGGGGCACGTCAGGGTTAGCCAGCTGAGCTTCCTGGATTTTCTGCTTCTCCTCTTCGGTTGGAATCATGGTCAGAATTTTCTAGAAAGATAGGGTGATATAATAATTCTCAGTAATGGACTCTGCTCCTGCAACATTTTCAAATTTCTGTTATGATAGTAAAACAAGCAGATAGTTAAATAATAGGCAGGTGTTATATTATGAAAACCTGTAAACTTTTAAATACCCTGCTCCAGGCCTTCTAGGGCATAAAGGGCATTCTAGGCAATGCCAGGGGCTGAAAAGTGAGAATAAAAAAGATAGAATATTAGAGAACAGCCTCCCACTCCCTAGGAGATACAGCAACATGTGTCAAGAATGTGCACTTTGTTGCACATCTCATGAACTTATTTAATAGATTACAAAAAGTAATATTCACAAAAAGTCAGGTTGGCTTCTCTGTATTAATTGTAATTTTAACCAAAACTCATAGATAAATAATATTTTAATATCAAACACAAGTCTGACTTAGGAAAAAATGATATATATATATATATATATGCATAATGATGAAAACAGTATTAACTTTCTACTTCTATTTGTTTTTGGTAAAGGCCAATTGCGGAATGCCAAGAGGACAAAGGATGTTAAAATCAGATTGATTCTTACAGTTTCAAATACTTAATTCATTACAATTTTAAGAGTGAAAAAATTATTATCTATCTTCATTATTCCTATCTTAACACTGTATGGGAACTCTTTCCTCCCCTACACACATACACACAAGAAGCACAGAGAGAGAGAGAGAGAGAGAGAGAAGAAGAAGGAGAAGGAGAAGGAGAAGGAGAAGGAGAAGGAGAAGGAGAAGGAGAAGGAGAAGAAGAAGAAGAAGAAGAAGAAGAAGAAGAAGAAGAAGAAGAAGAATTATAAACACCTACAAAAATATTTCTAAAACACAAAAGTGGATTCATGACACATAGCCAATACACAAAACCTACTTTATTGTTACATAGTAATGAGAAAATTTCAAAGTGCTATTTATGATGAAATATACAAGTGACACATCTAATAAAGAATTTATAAGCTCTATATATGTTAGAAATTTTAAAATGCTAATGAAAACCACCATAGAAGGTATAAATCACTGGAGTGGAATACCATGTTTATAGGCTAGGATTTATAGTCAGGGTGCTGTCTCACCAGACTGATCTATAGGCTTAACTCAGTTCCAAACCAAAAGACCAACATGATTTTGTGTAGAAGCAGACAAGCTGGTTCTAGAAGCCTTGTAGTGATGAAGACATGGAACAACCATGGAGAGTTGTAAAAGGTGACCTTGGAAGGATAACTTTGTCCAACTTGAAGAGCTGTAGAATCACACACACACACACACACACACACACACACACACAGAGAGAGAGAGAGAGAGAGAGAGAGAGAGAGAGAGAGAGAGAGAGAGAGAACAGTACAGAAATGGACCACACAAATATGGTCCATTAATTGTGACAAAAGACTATCCAACAGAGAGAGGATAGAATTTCCAACAAGTAGTGTTTAAACAACTAGATTTCATATTAAAATAATGAACCACAATGTAATTCTCCTTTCTACATAAAGAAACTCAAAATGGGTTATGGAAATTTAACACCATACAAATTTTGGGAAATCTTGTGGACCCATGGTAGACAAAAAAAAAAAAAAAAGATGCAATTTATCAACATAGATGTTCCCCTATGACACTGACATTCCATTCCTGGGTATGTAATCTAGAGCAATGAAACCCGGTAGTCACAGGAAACTATTAAAACAATTGCAATTGCTCTATGTGTAATAGCCCAAGTCTGTGACAAGTTAAATATTTTTAGTGGAGAAACAGGTAAACCAACTGTGGTACATCCCCAAAATGAAACACTGCTCTGTGGTAACATCAAGACACTCTAGAGCCTATGAGACTCTGGTGAGTCTCAAGGTTGTCTGTCATGTTGAGTGAAAGATGCCAATCTCTACAGGCTCTACACTGTGCGATTCCACATGACAGTCTTAAAACCAGAACAGCACAGTGATGGAAAATGCATCTCTGCCTGCCAGGGAACTACAGAAGGGCAGCACAGAGATGGAACTACTTCAATCCAGACTGAAGGGATTCAGATACATTTTTACAACACTAGAACAGCCTACCAAAATAATTAACTTTATACTATACTGACTCCAAATTTTTAAAAAATCATGACTATAAAGTTAACAGCAGCTTTTAAATATGCACATGTTAACACAATGGTACAGCTGGGTGTGTCTGGGCAAAAGCAGCCCTGAACTTGTTGAGTGGGAACAGGCAGGGAGCGCTGGCCTCAGCTCATCAGAAGTACACATTCTAAACTGCAGTCAGAGTGAGGCTGCAGAAGGTGACACCTGGCAAACACTCAGACCCATCTCCTTCCAAGCTGTTCTCCACTGTGGCTCCAGGATGAGGCTATGTGGGCAGAATTTGATTATCAGAGGGATTTAGCCAAAATTCTCTGGGTCACACTGTCCACAAACATAGTGTTTAAAAAACACTTATCCAAACAGTTCAAACAGATGACACTCTTTGAAAGCATCTATGGTTGGAACTCAACTAGTTTTTAAAGTACTTAGCATAAATGTGTACTTTAATTTTCACAATGCTTAAATTGTTCAAGGCAAGGCAGGAATTTGAAAACAAAACTTGCCAACACCTTTTGTAGCCAGCCTTCAGGAGACATGTTCCTGCAAGTTTTGTCGCTTTGTCCCAAACATGTTTTCTTTGCCTTTTACTTCTCTAATTCGAACCATTTCTTCACTGTGGACGATTCTGAGCTCACCGTTTTCTAATTCGTTTTCTTATTCCTTGCATCACTGTCAGTGAGACTACAGGACAGTGGCTCCGTAGGTCAGAGCCACCTCTTGCGAGCTGGTGGTCCTTTCCTCCTCCAGGATGATACAGATGAACACAAGCAGGGTTTAAGTCAGACTCTTGCCACATCCGTAGTTTCTTTGATGATACTTTGAATTACTACTTGGTTTTGTAGGGAAAGAATCATCCAACAAGACCAAAACATAATAACCCAATTGGTTTTATTGTTTTATTTTGTTTTGTTTTTTTTTTTTTTTAATTCCTTCTAGACCAGTGATTCTCAACCTTCCTAATGCTGCAATCCTTTAATACAGTTCTTTATATTGTGGTGATCCCCCATGGCCATAAAATTGTCTTTGTTGTTACCTCACAACTGTAATTTTGCTACTGTTTTGAATCATAATGTAAATATTTTCAAATATAGAGGTTTTTTTTATGGGGTCACAAGCCACAGGTTGAGAACCACTGTTCTAGACATTGTCCTTGTATTGCGACAACTATATTTGTTTTTGTAGCACAAAGTGCTATCCAAAAAAATGCAATATATCCTTTGTTGTGGACCTAAATGCTAGTTTGAGTTTGGCCATTTGATTTTCGTGCAGATGAGATACAGCAGTAATGGTTTTACTTGTTTTTGACGTAACCCTAGCTATGGTAATGAAGAATCTACTACAAGGATTTGGGTTCAGCATCAGGGACTAGGGAAAGTTTGTCTGGGGTTAGTGTGTTAACAGTTTGTGTACTCTGAGAAAATGGGCTCTATCCCTGCACGTATTCTCATACAGCTTAAATCAACCCCCTGAAGGACTCTGAAGGTATCTCCTGCCATTCACACGAGCACATGGAGGCAACACATTGGGGCAAGAGGTTATTGTGCTCAGCATAGATGGGATGATTTGCTGAAGCAGAGGCCGAAGTTCTCCCCAAGCAGAGCTACAGAACTGCTAGGGGCTGCCCTCATGTCCTAGCAGGAGCTCCACTATTCATGGACACTCACCTGCAGATGCAAACTCTAAGGGGACAGCTGTGTCCCATCATCAGAGCATTCTGGCTCCCTGAGCCAGCTACACAGCCCATGAGCAGACTCACCTATGCCCAGCACCTATGAAGCCAGCTAAGGCCATGCCTTTAGCAATAGCAACTCCTTGGAACGATACTGTGGCACAAATGGTTAAAGGAAATTTCTGCTTCTAAGATTATGCTGGGTCTGACAGCCAAAGTGAGATGAGTTAAATGTCATTAAAGACAACTGTATTGTACTGCCTTGTAAGTGGACTACACTCTAAAAATCAGAAAAGCAAAGGAGGAAAAAAAAAAAAAGCAATGTCTTCCCATTTCCATTTGTTATCATTCTGTGCATTTTAATGGAAAAAAAAACATTATGAATGCTCTCTAGAGATGACCCTAAAATAACTTCCTACAGTTTAATACTCTTCTGAAAGCCACTTCCTTAATGCAGTTAATTACTCAGGTTTGTATGACAAATCCAGATCCATGCCGTGAGTTGCTAGGCAATGGCACAGGATGTCATTTAATACATCCTAATTGTGTTTTGGTACACAGAGCTTGCCAATGGCCTTATGAAGCTGCAGTTCTGTGACATAATGTGTGTATCCAGGAAGCAGACAGTCTGGCTGAAGGCCTGTGGGCATTAGCTGCAAATCTTATTAGCAAGGGTCTGTATGTTGACAACTGCTTTTTCTTCTCAGTTTCATGTTAACTGTTCAACAACAAGAGTCCAGGACAAGCTTTGGATCCTTTCTAGCACATGAGTATAGATCTTCTATACCCCTAGGTTGACTGGCATCATGAAGAGGAGATGCATTTCACATTCTACAAGAGGTCTGGTTCCATGGTTTTCACAGCTATGCCTGAGAACAGCTGAGGGATATGCATACTGCTAGGTTATGGAGTTAGCTTCAATGAGGGGTTCTTGGATGGAATGCTTTCACTCCCTAGGGGAAGTTAAGAGTGTGTGGAGACATTTCTGGGGGTGGGTCAATGTGGGGGACAGTAGGTACCACTAGCCAGCCTGATCTACAGAGCTAGTTCCAGGACAGCCAGGGCTACACAGAGAAACCCTGTTTCAACGCCTCTCCCCAAACCCAAAACAAAACAACAACACCAAAAAAAAAAAAAAAAAAAAAAAAAACCACAATGTAAATGCCCAAAATCTAGGTTGTGCAAAGCCCCATGCTTTCTCTTTGAGGGCTGGAGAGGAGAACATTTCCTTGCCTCTTAACTACTACTACTTCTACTGCTGCTGCTGCTGCTACGACTACTACGACTACTACTTCTCCTCCTCTTCCTTCTCCTCCTCCTTTTTAACTACTGTCTCTTCTGATGCTCAACAAAATCTTTGGCATCCCTTGGTTTGTAAGTGTGTCACTCTAATTTCTGTTTCTGTCATCACATGGACTTCAATCTGTGAATCTCCCTGTGTGTTCTCTGATTCAAGTGGCACTCCCACCTATCTGTATCCAAATGTCCCTCCTCTTTTAGGAATACCAGTCAGAAGACTGATGGCCCATCCATTAATAACGCACTGTCTTTCCAAGCAAGGTCACTTCCTGAATGGGCATGAACTTGGCAAGGATACTGTATGTTCAACCAAGTACTTGTTTCAGTAGATAGTTTTTCTTGTGCTTGTCTCTTCTTCTCAAAGTGCAAAGGTATGCCTAGCCTTATGGGCTCCTAACCTTGCCTGTACTGTATGCCATCTCCGCTGCCCATGTGCAGGAACAAGAATTGTGGCATAGCCCATGAAATATGCTCCACTGGGCCATCTACCTCTCATCTTTCTCGACCTTCAACAGATCAGCAACCATGAAAGCCTCAGTTGGCTTGCTCTGTTCTCAAGATGATCCAAGAAATGCCAGGTGGTAGTGATACACACCTTTAATCCCAGCACTCGGGAGACAGAGGTAGACAGATCTCCATAAGTTCAAAGCAAGCCTTATCTACAGAGTGACTCCGGGATAACCAGAGATATACAGAGAGGCTCTATCTCAAACAAACAAACAAACAAACAAACAAACAACAACAATAAGATCCAACAAAGCATATCTCTGGTTTGTTTTAGTTTTTGACATAGGGTCTCATGTAACCGAAGCTGGCCTCAAGGCCCCTATACAACTGAGGAGGACCCTGCACCTCTTTAATCCTTGTGGCTCCACTTATCAAGCACTGAGACTACATGCTAGTGCCATCATACCCACCTTATGCAGTGCGAGGGATCAAAATGGGATTTGCTCATGGTAAGTAAGCCGTAACCCTAGCCGCAAATTACTTCTTTTTATAAGATTGAAACAATGTCTTTAATTATTTATGTGGACTTCAGCACCTAATGGAAGATTGCAATTGATAAGTGTTCCTAGACATGTGACATGACATGGAAGAAGACCCAAGCATCCTTGTATGGAGGACATGTTGAACTTTTTCCATTCTGAGGTAAGCAATACTTGGTTAGAGTTGAGGTCCATAAGTGAGTCAAGAGCTCTTAACTTCACAGGCAAAGTGACTTGTCTCTCCATCCTAGAATAAACATCTAGGAATCATGAATATCTTTCAGAGTCCAGTTGAGTAAAGAAAGTTATAAACCATCTAAAGTAATATTCAGTACAATAATATGATGCACATTTCACAACACTAACAATTCTCCATGGAACTTGCCTTACCTCAATCCCTTCTTTGTTTAAGGCATACTCATCAAAGTTCAAAATGGCTATCTTGATCGTCCTTGGAGGGGGCAGCACTTGTCAGGCCGATGTTGATAGCGTTGCTCCTCTTGGAATCCAGAACAATGATCTCCTGTCTTTTACCATCTGCAGCTGTTTTCTTGGTGATAAAACAAGGAAAATCGAAAGATTAATGTACCATCCTGGATCCTTCCTGGGTTCCATTACTAAACGCAGAGACTCACTCCTCATTTAAAAGAGAAAGCCAATGGCTCAGATTCGGCTCAGAGAAGAATTGGCTGCCACTCAGCTCAGGAAAGAGAATGGGGAAGAGGGAGGAAAATCAAGGCTTAGTTACTTAGTAGCCTCCAAGCTTGGGTCAGTAATGGAACTTCACAAGTCAGACACATTACAAAACAAAATTGATTTTCTTTCAATAGAGAAAATTTTGTGCAAGAACAAAACCTGTTTTTTTCCACCCTTTTCGGGTTCCTTTCTTGTGTGTTGGGAGGTGTTTGAATATGTCCTGATGTACAGTGTGTACAGTGTGTCCATAACAGTGAATGCAAAGGCCATAGTACAGGCAAATGAGGATATCCAAGGTGGATGCTGTATCAGCCCTTGGGTTCCTGGGTCTTTCCAGGGCCTTCCTCACTATCCAAATGTCCTGCACCAATCACAGCAGAGTGCTCCCATCTTTCCTGTACATGTAACCATTATACAGCTGCCCACTGGAGGGTGGAGTAGGGCCTCCCAACCAAGAGAAAAGAAAGGACATGTGCTGATAAAAAGGGAATGAATGACAAGCATGAACAGACATCAAATAGGACAACAGAGAGCCAGAGGTGTCTTGGCATCCTCATAGGACCCCGTATTGTGGCTTTCAAAGGCATGGATGCCCCCATGGAGCCAGACCTTGGGCCTGCCTCATGGTAATGGCTAGCATATGGCTGGAACTGTTTGTATGCCTTTCAAACTTAATATTTATATCCCATCCCCAAATCCACATGTTGGCCCCCTGATTTCCAAAAAGATAGAATCTAGTATCAGAGGTCAGGGGCCTTGGGAGATAATTAGGTTTAGGTAAGGTGCTAAGAGTGGAATCTTCACAATGGGATTGGTGTTCTTACAGGAGAAGGAAGCCCTCTGAAAGTCAGGAGGAAAGCCCTTGGCAGAGGAAACTTGGCTCACGTCTTGATCTTCAACTCCACAGCCTCAAGTACTGTTAGAAATAAATTTCTGTTGTTTAAGCCGCTGAGCATATAGTGTTTAAAATTATTTTTAGATTTATTTATTCTATATGTATGAATGGTGTGCCTACGTGTATTTATGCATACTGTGTGCAAGCTTGGTGCCTGTGGAGCTAACAAGAGGGCGTCAGATCCCCTGGAACTGGAGGAGTTACAGATGGTTGTGAGCTACAGGTAGGTGCTGGGAACTGAACTCGAGTCAACTGGGAGAACAACAAATAGAACTGTCATTTGGTATTGGATTATGGCTGCCCTGACAGACAAACACAGGCTATGACGCAGACTGCCTCCACTTTTCCCTTCAGCTCTCAGGAAGTTATGTAGAGCTGTCAATGGAGGGGCATAGGTTTAGCAAGCCTCTACCACTGCTCAGGTTTCCTGTGGTACCAAGGCATCTGGGAAGATGGCTGTTTTGAATTATGGGACATTCATGGGGTGGCAAAGATGGTCAGGGTAGGGTGATTCTCATGAAGAAAATGTATCCAGTGATGGTGGGTGCTCACAGCAGGGTAGCTGCTACGTGTTGAAAAGGGCAGGTCTGTAAGAACTGGATTTCTAACTATACCTGCAAGAGTCTCTGGGATCCATCCAGGCCCCAGGGAGAAAGCAAGCAGATAAAAAAGCCATGCCTTCAGGCTAGGAGCTGTCAGGGATGAGGCTGGATGAAGGTAGATCCTGCAAGACGTCTGGGGCCAGCCTGACCATACCCTGCAGGCAAGTGCCTTCTGAACTGCTCCTTTGAAGCTCTCCTGAGCCTAGGAGCAGAAGAGCCATCAGCAGGGATAACAGTAGAGCTGTGGGCTAAAAGGAGGAGCAGACTATGTTTCTACACATCCCCCCCCAACTCAATTGCTACATCTTTACTTTAGGTCCTTAAATATGTGTTTGGGAATAATACATTCTTCATGAAGGGAGCAACTGAGAACATCTCAGCCCTGGGAAGGGGCAGTAGGAACACATTTCATCTGATCAGTTCTGTTATATTAGAGAACCTTGACGGGCCCATCTCAAAAAAAAAAAAAAAAAATAGTAATTCTATTGAAATTCTAATAGGATTTTAAAAATCCATTCTAAAATTAATAAAAGACCACATTCCTTTAGAGTCAATGACATTCTTTAAAATGTTTTCACATGTATTTATTGTATTATGAATGCTCTGCCTGCATGTATGTATCCTACCATGTGTATGCCTGGTATCCTTGGAAGTCAGAAGAAGGCATTGGGTTTCCTGAAACTGGAGTTAGGGATGGTTGTGAGCCCAGGCCCTCTGAAAGAGCAACAAGTACTCTTAACTGGCGTAGCCACCTCTCCAGTCACCAATTATTCTTTTGTGAAGCACTAATAGTCTCTTTGTGGGTGATTATGGAGCATTGTGCACTACTGAGCCAGTCAGTGTGGGGGGGGGCTGAGACAGCAGAGGTGTAAAGAGCAGTGTAACACACCAGCATGGGAAGGGGAGGGCCCCTGGCCCAGCCCAGTCAGCCTCACAAGACTCAAGTCCCTGAACCAAAATCTAACCTAAGAGAAGGACAGCGAGCGAGCGTGTTACCAAAGCAGGAAATAAAGTCAAACGCGGCAGTGAGCAGCGGGACTGTGGAGGATTCACTGATGTCTCCCTTCGGAGAGAAAGGTCAAGCAGGGACAGAGGCACAGTGAGAAGGACAAGGCCACACCGGAGGAGACCTTCTCTTCTTGCTCTGCTGACAGTTGTCCCAAGACACCAGTGGACAGTGAGATCAACCTGAACACAGGCAGGAGAGACTTAGGTACCAGTCTATTCTCCAACAGTCTGTTTTGTTTGTTCTGATTTACTTTCACAGATAAGACTTTGGTAGGTAGTCTTCTACCTCATTCTGGAGCCCAAGCTGGCCTCCAACCCTGATCCTTTTCTCAGTCAGTCTCCTGACATTTGGGCATTAACAGTTAGTTCTATTTTCCTCTTTTCCCACTGGCTACTTGTCATAACAGATTTATTTATTGCCCCTCTTTACTATCTTATTTCCTGAGCAGCTTTTGGGTACCTAGTTCTCAAACGAGAACTTTCCATGTCGAAGTGTGAAGTGTGAAAAGATTATCCTCTTTCCCCCCTCCCCCACCAAAGGACCAGGAGGCCACCAGTGCTGATCCGGGACAAAGGAAGGATGGTTTCAGTCTTGGTTCTCCATTAAAGATGAAAGGCAGCCAACCTCTGCCCTCCTCTTCAATACCTTTCAAGAATGGCCATGGTAGGAGCAGTGCTGGAACAAAGTGTCGGTTGCCCAGGCTCCAGGCATAGAGGGCTTAACTATGGGGTGGATAGACATGAAAACTAGACTATCTGTAGGGCTTTAGCATCATAGGCATGTGGCCCCATGAGGAAAACAGCTGCAGGGCTGTGGGGGAACATGCTACTTTTCCAAGTATGCCCACAGAAGGGTTCAAGGGAGAAGGGGATCTGCTTATTTAAGAAGGGAGGGGCCTTGAAAAGTCTCTAGGCTGCTTTAGTTCCATGAAGCCTATTAGCAGAATTCCTCCTCCTTGAGAGCCTCCATAGCTCCTCTTATCACCCCAACCCCAAGATGGTCTCTGGAGACATGTCTCAGGCCTCGATGCCCTGCAGGGTTTTTTTTTTTTTTGTTCATTTGTTTTGCACTTGACTAAGAACACTTCAGGAAAAAAGGTGAGGTATCAAAACAGCCAAGATGGACAAGAGAGAATCCAGGTCCCCCTGTATGTCTGGGAGAACAGAGACCTCACAGACAGAAGGGGCAGGAAGGAACTCAGGAGGGCATACAGGAAGACAGAGCTGAATGTCTTCAGGATGAAGTTTCAACAGACAGCACGAAAGCACAGAAGAATTATAGGACTCTGGGAAGCAAAGGTGGCAGCCATCCAGCAGAGACTGGTCCCTGCTGAGACACAGGGCATGGACCAGGGCTAGCAACCCTAGGGGGGAGACTGGCTGCCTGAATAGGGATCCATCCTCTAGAACCAGAGGCCTGCATGTCTGACTGCTTCCCAGAGAGTAAAAAGTGACGTAAGGTAATGAAAATATTGCTGCAGTAACAGCTAAGGCATGTTTAGGCTTAGCCAAAAGGGGTGCTTAGTGCAGAGAGATGGCTACTGAAGATAAGGACTCAAACTTGACTGAACAGTTATAGAGGGTATGGGGACACACGCAAGTGTGACTGCACCCCTGACTTCAGCCAACATCCTGGGAAAAGGAAAAGGGCCCTAACTTCCCCCTCCTAGTCATTCTGTTCTGTAAAACAGAAGGAATGAAGATTCGGGTAGCAGTGAAGAAAGCTAGATATATTTAAACAGTACACAGCTTTCACTAAGCTTCAAGTTTGCTAAAACGCTGATGCAACAGATCACCTCTTTGATTTTTTTTTTTTCCCCTTGCTGGGGATAGAACCCAAGACCTTGCATACATTAGGCAAGTACTGTACCACTGAGCGGTCTTGAGCTCACCCCCTTTAAAGAGTCGTTTTATTAGGAACAGAGGATCAAAATGTTTAAAAAGTGAGCATTGAACACACTGAACTTGTCACCCCAGAGGTACTGTGATTGAAAATAGAAAGCCGTCTTAAGGAAATGATGTATTTAGAGAACTCCCTGAGTCTTGGAGAATGCACTGAGTCTGAGAACGCTTCCATGAAAGGCAACTGGCCTCTGCACGAGCAGCTTGGCAGCAGTGCCGGAGACCCTGGGTCTGGGTCTGGTTCAGCCTGGCCATTCTAGAAATGGTAAATCATGCCTCCCAACTCCCTGCTCACCCGCCAAGAATGACACCACAAGATATTTTCAAAACTTGCCCTTGAGAAAGTGACAGTTACAAGTTGCAATGATACAGATGTCACAAGGATGAGAAGGCTAGAATCTTTCTACTCTTTCTACTCCTGAGCAAATTGGGGGCATGGGGGGATTAAGAGAGAAAGAGAAGGAGAGGAGAAGAGAGGAGGATGAGGGACCAGGAAGATTGAGCCGGGGGAAATACAGGAGAGCAAGAAAAGAGATACCATAATAGGAAAAGCCATTATAGGTTTAAAGAGGTATCTGGCACTAGGGAAATGTCCAGAGATCTACAAGGATAACCCCCAACTAACAATCTAAGCAATAGTGGAGAGGCTACCGTAAATGCCCTTCCCCCAATAATAAGACTTATGACTACCTTATATGCCATCCTAGAGCCTTCATCTAGTAGCTAATGGAAGCAGAAGCAACACCCACAGCTAACACTAAGCTGAACTCCTGGAATCCAGTTGCAGAGAGGGAGGAGTGATGAGCAAAGAGGTCAAGACCAGGCTGGAGAAACTCACAGAAACAGCTGACCTGAACAAGGGAGAGCTCATGGACCCCAGTCTGATAACTGGGATTCCTGCATAGGACTGACCCAGACCCCCTGAACGTGGGTGTCAGGAGGACTGGGAAGCTGGGGCCTCTGGTAGTGGATCAGTCTTTATCTCTAGTATACGAATGGACTTTGGGAGCCCATTCCACATAGAGGGATACTCTCTCAGCCTAGACACACGGGGGAGGGCCTAGGCCCTGATCCCAATTATGACAAGACTTTAGATCCTCCATGGAAGGCCTAACCCTCCCTGGGGAGCAGAAAGGGAATGAAATAGGGGGTCGATGGGGGAATAGAGGAGGAGGGAGGGGACTACATGTAAAACAAGATTGTTTCTAATTTAAATGGAAAATTGTATATAAAAAGAAATACACAGCAAAGCTTTCCATCAAAAATACAAAAATAAACAAAAACAAAACAAATAAACACCTAAGTCTATGTTAAGGCAAACCTCTTTAGTTAAGATTAAATTTAGCTGCCATGGTGGTCCATGCCTTTAACACCGTACTCGGGAGGCCGAGGCATGGCAATTGTTTTGAGTTGGAGGCCAGTTATGAGCAGACTGTCTTTTTTAAAAATTGGGGAGGTGGTTGAAAGAAAAGACCCCTTTTCATTCCAGAATAGGGCCTGCTTTATTATTAAGAGGAGAATATTACTTTCCATATTTTGAACTTACTATCCGAGGCCAATAGTTAAATAACTGGACAGTCTGTATTTGTATCGCGACAGCAGAGGACTTAATCAGGCTCTGTCATTGTGCTCTGTCATTGTGTTGGCCCCACAAAGTACAAAAATTGTGTTTCTAATCTCTATGGGAATTTGGGGTTTCTGATGTTGATGTTAGGAACATAACGAACTCCTTGTACTCTGAATGGAAGCACTTGTGGACTTTATCTCTTCTCTGGGGAAAAGACCAGGAACAGGTTACCGCTGTGGAAGGTGTTAGTTATAGTGCCATGTTCATGTGCCAGTTTTACTCATGGGCTACAACTATGGATCTTCTCCATAATCTCTGAGGTATTTAAAAATCACCCAGGCTAGGTCTGTCAGAGGTGGGAAGATCTTTGAACCCCAGCATCAGCAAGAATGTCAATAACTGCAAAGTTGGAAGCCAGCCTGGTCTAAACAGTAAATTCCAGTTCGCCAGGCTAAGTACATGGGTGGGGAGGGTAGGGGGTGGGGGTACAATGAAAATATGCAAAATCACCCAGGTGAGGCGGGAGTACCTTAGCCAATTAAAAAAATCTCCATCTCTATATTTCCTTAAAAGTTCTTGATAGTAGTTTCTGATATAATAAGAAACTTCTGGATATACTAATGAACAGAGTGTGGCAGTTTATCAGAATGGGAATACTTGGTCCATATTTTAGTGGTACTGTTTGGGTAATGTTTAGAGGTGTGGTCTTCTGAAGAAGGCATGTCACTGGGGGCCAGCTTGCATCTCAGTTTGTTTTCTGCCTTGTGTTTACAGTTCAAGATGCAAGCTCTCACAGCTTCCTGTTTCTGCTTTGCCATTGTGGACTCTGGAGACTGGGAACTGTAGGTTCAAATAAACTCCCTCTGTGTTGCTCTTGACTATGGTGTCTTGTCACAGCAATGGAAAAATATTTACTACACAGAGCTAAGCAAATCTCTCCAGCCCCATCTGAGACCCCTTCCCCCACAAACCCATGGAACCATTGTGTCCTCAAAGGTGAAACTGGGTCCTCCCCCCTCTTTGCCTCCCTCTCTGCTTTCTCCACACCTGTCTCTATCTGGTAGTTAACTGGGGGTAAGAAGAAGGCAGTCTCTTGAGAGTATCTGGGTCTTCCAGTCCTTGATTGACATAAGAATTGGGAAGGCCATTTCACAGGGCTCCTATGTCAAGTTCAGATGCTTTGGGGACTCTCTGCCCCATGATAGCTCTTCAAATCACTTTGAACACACATCACCATACTCAGGGTAGCAGCAAAAGTACTACACAGTGAGGCTTAATCCAGAGTTGCTGTCACCTCACAATACATCGAGCAGCATACTGTGAAAAGCTAATGGTACATGTTTGCTGCCAAAACAGAAAAGTGGGTTCTGTTCCACAAACTAGTTTTGAAAAGAGCCCAGGAAGG